ACCTCCTCTCTAGAATCTGGTATTCTGCAGCCTGAAAAGCTTCAGTAATTTAGCTTTGAGGATTGTCCTTGCCCGTCCTCACCAATGGTCAGGGAGATATGAATAATTAATTTTTATTATCATTACAGTGTCTTCTGCCCAGAGCACCTTCTTCAACAAATTAGCTTTGTTTCTGACATCACATGCAGGTAATTTAAAATGTATGTTTTAATGGCCTTCTATGGCATATAGGTAAACTATTTAGCAAAGACATGTATATTACATTGTAATAAACAGGATTTGAAGAGCTTAGAGGGGTAATGGTGGCTAAATATGAAGCCTTGCACAGAAAAATGATTTTTTTTTTTCATTTCTTTTTGTAAAACCTTGGATTAAAAATGGGGATTTTCTTTAAGTTTTATAGATATTCACCTATCTTTGTTTTTTTCATATAAAATCCAAATTACATTATTTGAAGGTTGCATTTGTAACATAAAAGTTAAAAAAGAAGAAAAAAAAAAAGAATAGCTCAAGGGGTGTATATACATTTGTAAAAAAAAAAAATCACATTTATATTTGATTGCAAGTGGGGTTTTATCTCACCATAATGTCACCCTTTAATAACAGAGCTGGCTCCATAGTTACACACAATTTTCTTGCCCTGGAGCTCTGAGGATCACTGTAAAAAGAATAAAAAAAAATGGTACATTTGCTTGAGAATAACATAAAAAAGGAAGAGACAGATTTAGGCAGGATGTAAACACTGTCTCCTTTAATGTAAGCACAGACCAGGCTACACTTAAACACAGACAGCAAGAAGTAGAGTCAAAATCTATCAGAGGGACTCATTGAAAAAAAAGGTTCCACCCACAGGAGGTGAGAGCACATAGTGATTCAAGCAGACAAGTGGACGATACTTACTACACTCCTGAGGTATAAATGAGCTGTAAGGACTGGTAGATTTTCAGGAAAGGATAAAAACCTGCAAGAAAAGTGATAGTTTGTTGGTGAATTCTTAAATTTGTTTTACAATGAAAAATAAAAACACAATTTGTTTATTGCTTTATCCTCATAATTAGTTGAAAACCCTGGAAGAGTAAATGCTGACCTCCTCCTGATTGGAAATTTGGTAATGAAGGAACAAGGATCTGATGAAGGAACAAAGGACTGCTGTTCATTTTGATGGTCCCCGACAGCAAACCGCTGAAATAATAGATGTACCTGTTCAAAAAACAAGAACTGGTGTAAGATGAGAGAGCAAATGAGATTCAGGAGGACATATCTGCTGCAGAGAATCAGGAATCCCAGACCTGCTCTGAGAGGGATGCAGGGAGGAGGAGATTTTGTCTTCACAGAACTTCCTCATGGCTAACGTGGTGAGAGCCTGGTCTGCTCTGAGGGCACAAGAATAATAACTGGTTACAACTGAGGTGTGCAGATAAAAAAATACCATTCATGGTTTGTTTTTCCAAATGGTTTATAGAAGAGGAAATATTTGCTTAATACAGAGTAATATTGGGCGATCTGTTCTCAGGATGGATGCTTGCATCTCAAATATGTACCATAATGCCTCTTAAGCACATAAAGTTGCAAATTACCCAGCTGAAATCTTGCTGTAGTGCATGTAGGCCGCCACTATGACCCCCGTCTTTCCTTTGTGACCCTGTGAGAGCCAACACAGTAATAAACAATGCGTTAGATTCCTGCTTTTCTTCCATCTTTACAGCAATCAAACAGTTGTGTGTTTGTGCCGAACAAACTTTGCAGTGGAGAACGACCACGTTGTGAGGGTCAGAAGTCAGCCACATCTCCATGGCTTTACAAATGGCACAGATCCTGTCCAGTGGAGGGGCGTGGAGATCAGGCCAGCCATAATCTTGCACCTGGACAGCAGAGGAGAGCTGATGCTTAATTTTCTGTAATGGGGTCAATCTTGGCATAACTATCTAATTAGGGGAGATAAATCTAAATAAAAAAGTGAGTTGCAATAATATTCCTTATGCTTTGAAGCCTTTTTTAAGGTCAGGTTGCCAAAACAAAAATTTGAAATGCTTTAGTTAGATTTTAGTGCGTGATTTTGAAAATGAAAGAACAATTTTTCATGGTGTAATTTATCTTAAAGGATTACAGTAGAAATATTTTTGCTTTTTTTTCTCGCAAACCAGCCAAAGCTTCATCAGACTGGGGGGTTCTGAACCTTACAGGTTTGCCGCACTTTTAAGATTCCTCATGATTTAAGATTTTTGGGAATTTTAATTCCCAAAAATGTGTTCTGGAGATGATTTTACAAAGAAAAGAACAACTTGTTGAACAAAACCCTATAAGAACTACAATGTGTAATTTTCATTATTGATCAATAAAGTATTTAATTAAAATTAATCAATTTTCCTTTTGCAGAAAACTATGCAGTACTTTATGTTATTTTATCCCATCTAATCCATCAGCAATGCCCCCCATGTTTAGGCAGTAAATACTCTTACCTTTGAGTTAAGCCTGGTGATGTCATGTCTTTTTTCTGATAAATTCAGAAGCTAGATGGAGCAAAAGGAAGGAAGAATATCAGCCACATGCAGGTCTTTGTTCTTAATGTATGTGTTTCAGTTATTTAAACTCACCAGAAACTTGTCCTGGTGCTTAGATTTGAGCATGGAGGCCACCTCCTGCAGGTTTCTACGATAGCGTTGCTCCTCCAGGTCTGGCACAAAGAAGACAGAGATGATCCGCTCTGTGATGTAGGTGAGGTCGAAGTCATAGTGTCCTTCCATCACATGTTCCATCACTTCTTCTACGCTTTTCCTTCTGGACAGAGCAAACATACATTATTTGATCACTACTTGATTCCATAATGACATTTAAAATGTAGATTTCTTAATTAATTTAATGTTTTTAACAAGCAAGACAGATCTCCCATACAGTGAATTCTAAATTATGAATTGGATTAATAAAACTGCCTGAATCTGCAAAAGAAAATGATGTGCACTGTGGAAAACAATGGTGCTATAATCCTGGCCATCAGTCCCTGTTTTTAAGATGGATATATTCTATATGTATACAGATTTTTTTCTTAGACATTTAAAGTATTTGGAAAAGCTGCAGAAATAATTCCTCCAAAGACCAGTAAGTTTCCAGTCAAAACCTTTCAGACAAATGCTAGAAAGCAAAGGGGATCTAAGCAAAAACCCCAAATTCACATTAGAGAGAAAATGTGCTTATTGTAAAATAGCCCAACCCCAAAGTAGAATCAAATGTGATGCAAAGCTTAGAGTCTAATGTGGTCAACAGATGACATGTTATAATCTGACTGACTTTAGGAACATTTTAAGGTAGAATGTCAGATGTAGATGAACTACAATTTAAGTAAACTGAATATTTGAAATACGTCAAATGATTGTATTTGTGGACAGTTTAAAGCTATCCACATTTATTTAACTGGGCTAATGCACCTTTTTTATTTTTCTTTGAATGGAATTGTTTGGTTTTTTTAATGAAGTTGCTCAAAATAGCAGGTAAATACAAAGTATTGGACTGACACACTGTTTAAAAAGTCAATCTACATTTGTTTTCCTGAAAAGAAAAAATATTGGGATGTCCTGGTACACCGTTTTCTTTTCCGATACAATAGACTGATTCAATAACACAGCTTTGAGGATGACCCATTCCGATATTGATGTTGGAAGCAGGCTGATATATTCCGATGGTCATTGTCTGTCTGATATCGGACTGGTTTCTGATTTCATCAGCGGATTGCGACGTCCCTAAAAAAAATACCCTCTCTTGTCCGCCTGCACATTAAGCTAATCTTATGCTCTTTGTTACCTTGGCAAGGAGCTTCTCTTCTTTTGAGATGTTGACTTTGTGGAGCTGTGCTGAGAAAATAAACAGAGAGGAGCTGAACAGTGCTGCTACGAAGCTCAATTAAACACAACAAAACATCCAAATTGACACAAACTTACCAGATCTGGCACTGGGGTGCAGGTGGTGAACACCTGAAAGGGAAGACAGCATATGGTTAGATTTAGCGGCATTTAGAGTAACAAATGCACTCATTCCCACCAACTGGAAATAAATTAGCTCATATCTCGTCATTTGTTTGATTTAACGCTCTTGGTTCTACTCCAGCAGAGCAGATAAACAGCAAACAACTGAGGGATGAGAAAGGAAGGAAATGGAGAGCTGATGGAGAGGGTAGTAAAACTCATTCCTCATCTGTCATCTCCGGCAGATGGCTGCAAGAAGCTTTGGCACAAACGTTTAAATGATGATAGAAAATGTTGACAAACCCCCAATCAGGAGATAAATGTACAAATGCAGAGAAATGTTGATCAACTCTAAGAAACAGCTGCAAACATTACAATGATTTTTCCAAGACTATTATCACCTTTTATCTTCACTTTGTAAATATTTGTCAAACAGGATGAACGAGTAGAGTTCGGTTAAGGTATCCCAAGTTTAATATTAATGCTATGTTTTGCTTCAGCCTATTAAAAATATGGTATATTTTATTACTGGGGGAAGGCAGTAAACATGTTATGCAGTCCTTGTACATTTCTGCTGACTCAGCAATACTTTGCACATAAGGCAAACACACACACAGAAGCTGGGGCCATTTATATAGATAACAACAATAGCAAAACACACCATGTTGCACCCTTTATAATTCTGTCAATATAACAGTACTTAATTACTTAAAAAATGCTTAATATCCCTATTTGGCTCTATGTTTGAGTCATTAAATGTGATGCCAAATCAGCATTTAAACTCAAACCCAGTCCACTCCAGCACTTACATGAGCAGCTAAGCCACAGTCAGAGGTTAAACTGTGGCAAACACTGACTGGTGTCCAAACAAAGTTTAACAGTAATGTACAGCTAAAGAAATTAAAGAAAAAACAACAGCGACTATTCTGCTTAAAAGCTGAAGCAAACCTATTGGTAATACAAGGCTGTATTGGCTAACTGGTCCTGCGATGAAGCGATTTAATTGGTTGGAGGAAATAAGATAAGGATTTGCTTAAAGATTGTACCTACAACCTGCAACCTTTTCTTTAAAACAAAAAATAATGGTGCGGAATAAAAGTATAAATTTTTGAGAGGGAAAAAAAGTATTAGCCAAATAATTGTTTTATAAATTTTCCCCACAATGGGGAAAATGTGTCATTACAGCAGTAAAAGCTTACAGCAAAAGTGGTCACGCAAATGTGTATAAAAATAACAGAATGTTAAGACAGAGTTAAGAAAATAAAAAAATAAAATACTGTACAGTATTTTTACAACATAAATACTCTGCATCTGTATAATAAAAAATCAATATACAGCTGTGGACATTTTGCAGTAGCAGTTATGTGAAAATAGCTGCAACACCAGAGATGGGCAAAATGACAGCAGCATGTTATTTAACCAAGATAGAAACTGTGCAAAAATCTGCATGAATGTAACAACATATTGAGGTTGTTGGGAACATTGGTGGCTATAAAGTCTTACAGCTGCTGGGAGGAAGGATCTGTGATAAAGCGCCCTGGTGCATTTAAGGTGCAGCAGATAGGTATAGCAGGTTGAAGATTGTAGTAGCTCTGTAATAGAGCTGTAAAATTGCTTCTTCTCAGCGTTACATTGGCCAAGCTTGTGATCATGGTTGCCAACGTAAAGAAGCAAAGGGGCTCAGGATGCATGCAGAGGTTGCTGCTTTCCTTTAGAACAGGCAAGTTAAACGTATGCTAATGCTAACCAAAGCTCTGCGGGTAAAGTAGGCAGGTTTCAGGAGGTTTGTTGGGGTTTTCTGTAAGTCAGTATGAAGTGGTTCAGATCTGGTTTCAGATCTCGGCCAACACTGGAGCAGCTGCTAGGGGTTAGCTAATCCTTCTTTTCCCCCGTAAGGAATAACTAGTAAAAACCACCTCCGGTGTTTGGCAGATTTGGCAGGCGGCTGAAAAACAATCAAATTGAAGGTTGGAAGATAAGTGAATGCAATGGCTCTTTATAATACACATTCACAGGCTATAAAGTACACCTATTTATCTTGCTTTTGGCAAAAAAAACAGAAAGATCCAATCACGTGGGATCAGTGCAATATGTTAAGTATATGTAGACATTCCATCACACTTATCCCAAGCGGGGTCACAAGGGGTGCTGGTGCCTATCTCCAGCTGTCTACGGGCAAGAGGTGGGGTACACACTGAACAGGTCACCAGTTCATCACAGAAACAAACGGCCATTCACACACACCTAAGGAAAATTTAGAGAAGCCAGTTAACCTAACAGTCATGTTTTTGGACTGTGGGAGGAAGCCAGAGTACCAGGAGAGAACCAATGCATGCACAGGGAGAACATGCAGACCCCGGACTGGGATTTAAACTGAGAACCTTCTTGCTGCGCCACTGAGCAGCCAGATATGGCGAAAACGATTTGGTGAATTTCAAGCATCAGAATGTAAACTAAATATTTAGGTACCCATTTAATCGTCATGTTGGTGATGCAGACGTCCTGATGTGAGCTCAAAAGCTGATCTAAGTGGTACTGAGATTCTTCAATCCCCATCCAATAGATTAGCAGAGAATGGTCCACAAAATTAAACTGATCCGGTGAGCTGGAGATGTGCAAATTACAATGTTGATCTCAGAAGTCACAGAATGGTGAGACTGTTTAAAGATGATACGAGGCCAGCAGTAGCAGAAATTCCACAAAGCTATACGCCGAACACTGTCTCCGAACACACATAATATCAAGCAATGAAGAAAATTAGCTATAGCAACAGAAAACCACACTTGTCGCCAACAGAGGCTTTAATAAAATACATTGAATTAACCCTAAAGTTCACAAGGGCTGATCAAAATTAGTCAATAGCTTGGAAAAATGTTAACTAGTCCAACAAATCTCAACCTCAGCTGCAACAGTCAGAATTTGGTGTAAACAAAATAAACGCATGCAGTCATACTGCCCTGTTTCAAAGCTTGTAAGCGAGTAAATGTGTCTTAATGTGACTATCTGCATAGATAAATAAAGAATTATGGTTGAATCAGCTGATGGAAGAGCAATGGAGGCTGAGGAAGGTTGCAACACTGTTTTCTGTTCTCTCAACTATTTCAAGACAACTGGGCCAGCACCAACCATTTGATTATATATTAAAATGACATACGTATGTCTGCATGGAAAAGATTTATTACTGAACTCATAAGAAAACTTTTTTCCACAAGTTATAAATCCATTCAGTAGTCGAGTTGTAAAAACATTTAGCAGCAATGGTTAATTGTTCTATGTATGAGTTTTTAAATAAGTGTCTAAACTCAACCTGAAGAATAATCAAACCCAGAGGTGGCAATTCCAGTTCCTTAGGGCTGGTATTCTGCAACTTTTAGATGTCCCTTTGGTTCAACACACCTGAATCCATAATTAGATGATTATGGGGACTCTGGAGGGACAGACTGCATACTGAGGAGGTAACTTAGCCATTTGATTTAGGTGTGTTGGACCAAGGATAGATCAAAAGTGGCAGGATACCTGCCTCCAGGAACTGGAATGGCCAACCCCTGATCAAACCTGTTTCTTCCTCTTGACCATGGTATTAGCTAAAGTTGGCTTATGTTCCTGAAACCAGTCTCCACCCACAATTTGTGCTCAACTGACACTAAATGTGCCTGAGCCTCTTCAGAATGTTCTCAAAAAACTACTACAGAAATTTTCAATTGATCAAACTTGAATATATGGTGCATTAAATTGGTTTACTGTAAACATATATTAGTATATAGGCGACTAATTTAGCCATTAAATAAAGCCCAGCAAAACAAAGAAAAAATGTCCCATGGAGACAAGAAAAAAATATGGACTGAAAACAGATATAGCTGCACCCAACCTCTGTTACATTTGGCTAAAGAAAATGAGTGGAACAGGGGAAACAAAGCGGAAATTATTGTTGGGGACTGTCTCCACCAGGTCAAAGTTGGTGAGGACATGTCCACACCAGTCCTTCAGAAAGATACCCCTGTGAATGGACAGCATGTCCATGATTTTGTTTTCATGGACATCCAAAAATGGTAATAACTCCCCCCCTTCCCCATTAGTTAGAGTAAGTAGTGATGTGAAAAAAATTACCACCAGCTGTGCAGTCTTTATGTGTTAGAACTTGCACATCCAGCCCTGCAGCAACACCTTCCTTGATTTTAAGCTCTCATTCCCGGTGGAGGGTCCAACTGTGCATGTGCAGCATCAATGCAAATTTCCCTAATTTCAGATCTCAAGAAATGAAACACAAAAGCACCACAGTCATTTTATTTTTATTTTGAGGCAACTAAAATTGGGCCAAACTTTATTTGATTAATTTATTTTATAATTTTTAAGGTTACTTAATACAATAATTGATATTGGAGGATTCTACAAGCTTGATTCCTCAGCAATTTTTTACTGGTTTTAAGCAAACGGACACTAGACAGATTTTACTACAGAAGGTGGTGAAAGGTCAAATAAGATATATCGTAGCCTATGTGGTTTTTATTACTACTTTAAGAAACTTTAAGAAGAAATCTGCTTTTTTCAACTTATTTTTTGTCTAATTAATAGCCAAAGAACCTCAATTTTTATACTTTAATTTTACTTGGCACTGATTGGCAGAAAATACACGTGCTATGAAAGCTTTAAACGACAATGAATGAACACCATGATCAAGCCATGGGGGTAATTTAACAGGTTTAATAATGGTAATTAAACTTGGCTCAGGAAGGAGCAAGGGGAGATAAACAAAACACATAAATGTACCCATGTAAAAATACTAACTTAAACACACAGCCCCGCATACAAAAAAAAAGTGAACATTAGGCAAAGTCCATGGAAAAGCAGGATTTAAACGGAGGAGCAGGACACCAACATCAACAGGAAGCAATTTTCTACAGGATGTAAGAGTTAGTCGGCAGAGGTCCACAAACACACTAAGATACATGCAGAGTAATGCCTGTGTGCCTGGTAGCTCTGTCAGCCTCAGGGTCTTCATTAATGCATGC